GCAACTCGAATGGAGTCACGCCGATCGCCGGGTGCACCGAAGTGTTGTAGGCGAACTCGATGTCGGGGAGGCAGTCAACCCAATCTTTCTGGTCCGGACGGATGAGCGTACGAAGCATCATTTGAGCGGTTTGATGTGCCCGCTCCGTCTGCCCGTCTGTCTGAGGATGCCGAGCCGAACTTGGTTTCATTGTTGTGCCGGACTCCTGCATGAGAGCAGTCCAAAACGCCGACATGAAACGAGTGTCGCGGTCGCTGACAATGTCTTTTGGTACACCGTGGGCACAAATCCAACCAGTGTGCAGGAGGCGTGCCAGCTCGGGAGTCGTGGAGTAGTACTTGCAAGGGAGAAAACGCGCGTACTTACTCAATCGGTCCACAACCGTGAGGATGCCGTCGTGCCTGAGCCGGTCGCGAGGAAACGGACCGGTGACGTCCATGGCAATAGAGAGACCGGGTTCGCATGGGATAGGCATCGGGTGTAACTCGCCATAGGGATTGCGGTTGCGGGGTTTGCTGCGTCGGCAAACTTCGCACGAGTCGCAATACCGAGTGACATCGGTAATGAGGTCGGGCCATTGGAATCGCTGTCGAAGCCGTGCAATAGTGCGGTTGACTCCGAAATGGCCGGCGAGTCGCGAATCATGATACTCGCCAAGGAGGCGAGTCCGAAGACGACGGTCGCGTGGGACACATAGTAAGTCCTTGCCTCTCGAGTGGAGGAGCAAGTACCCGTCGGCGATGCGATAGTGGCTGGCCGGCGGGTGATCCGAAGATAGTTGTGTGTACAGCGTGGCGAAGTCCGGATCAGACTCATATGCCCGGATGAAGTGTCGTTGAAGCTCCTCGTCGAATGCAAAGGCATGATGCGTCATAGCGCAAAGATCTGGTCTTCGCGAGAGTGCATCTGCTACGCGATTTGAGAGGCCGGGTAGATGTTTCGGTGTGAAGTCACACTGGTCGATGAAGTACATCCATCGTCCGATCGTGCTGCTCACCGTATCCTGCGTTTTGTAGTAGGTCAATGGATTGTTGTCCGTAACCCATGTGAACCTACGACGCCCAAGGAGGAAGTGCCACCATCGCTTGAGAGCCATGACGAACGCGAGTAGCTCCTTCTTCCTTGCATCATCAAGCGAGTTGATGGGAGGCACTTTGTGGCTGAAATACTCCACAGGGTGCCCGTCGTCGCCATCGTGCTGTTCGAAGACTGCCCCAATGCCATAGCCGGAAGCGTCCGTAGTCACTCTCGTTGGCAAGGTGGGGTCATAGATGCTGAGGACGGGTGCCATGAGCATGGCCGTCTTAAGTGCTTGGAATGACCGGCGTGCGTCGTCATCGAATACGAATGGCACCTTTGGCGACTCTGCAACCTCGTCATAGGTGCAGCAATCCTTGAGTATCCGGTGATGAATCGTTGATAGTAGCCCGCCAATCCCATGAATGAACGAACGTCCGTGGTGTTGGTGGGCTCGGGCCATACTCGTAGGGCCTCGATCTTGTCCGCGAGTGGACGGATGCCTTGCGGCGTCACATAATGGCCCAAGTACTTCAGCTCCTGCCGCGCAAATTCGCACTTGTCGCGGTTTGCTTTGTACTTGGCCTGTCGTAGCCGCTCCAAAACGGTGTGCAGGTGTTCCACATGCTCCTCCAAACTCCAGTTGTAGACCAGAATGTTGTCGAGGTAGATAAGTACGAAACGATCCAGCATGTGTCGGAACTCCGTTGTCATAGCCGCTTGGAAAGTGGTCGGGGCATTCGTAAGGCCAAATGGCATAACCAGCCATTCGAAATGCCCATATCGCGTCTTAAACGCGGTCTTGTAACGGTCCTCCTCGCGAATCTCGAGTTGGTGATATCCGACTTGAGGTCCAGCTTGGAGAAAAACTTGGCGCCGCCCAGTCGCTCGAGAAGGTCGTCTATGCGTGGGAGAGGGTCGGCGTTCCTGATTCTCTGCGCGTTGAGCTTGCGATAATCGATGCACAACCGCAGGTCCTTGTTCTTCTTCCGAACGAAGAGAACAGGAGCACCGTATGGCGATGAGCTAGGCCGAATCCAGCCTTTCTCCAGAAGGTCGTCGAGTTGTGCCCGAAGCACACTCGACCCTTCCTCGCTCATTCGGTAGATGCAACCGCGCGGAGGTACGGCCCCGTCCTCGAGGATGATCTCGTGGCGGATGGGTCGATCTGGTACTACTCCGTGCGGGCCTTCGAACACGTTGCTGTAGGCGTCGAGAAGTTCGGTGATACGTGGATCCGAAGGTGAGTCCGTCGATGAAGCGTCATGTGGCGGGAGGGCGTGGAGAAAACACACCCCCATCTCCTCGATGTCGCCTCTGATGATGGAAGCTCGCATGCTTGCGGCGGATACCACGTGGCAGCTGATCGAAGGATGAGGAAGAGGCACTGTGCATGGAACTAGTACTCCGTTCCGATCACGAATGTGAACGGTGCGGTGGAAGAAGTTCACCGGGTGATCCTCGCTTCGCAGCCATGACATGCCCAAGATCATGTCAAATTTGGTGTCCAGAATGTCAAAGGACACCGCCTCACTTGCGTGAGGGGCAAAGTACACTGGGACGTTGTCAATGCACCGGTCGATGGACTTGTGCGTGTGACCGTCCGCCAACGTGACTTGCGTAGGCTGGGACTTCCTCCGGACGCATGGGCCAAGGCCGGCGCGCACCATGAAGTCCTAGCTGATGTAGTTGCGAGATGCTCCGCAATCGATCAAGGCGTTGCAGGTCGCCTCTCCGATCTGAATGCGTACATATAGCAATGGTGCGTTGATGTCGTCGTACTGTTGCGTCTTGAACTCGCGGTCGATCTTCACAATGTAAGCGTGAAGGTCGACAACCTCTACTCCGGCGTCCATCAACGGAGCTGGTCCTGCAATGTGCAAGTAATCTCGCAGTTGTGCCATGAGCACATTGCAATGCTGTTTCGGCAATCGTTCGGTCGGGGGAACGGGCATCCACTGGAGGTCTGTGAACGTCAATGGGTCGAGCACCTCAAGTCTTGACCACGACGATGAATCCCCGGCGATAGATGGCGGCAAAGCTGTCGAATCGGTTGTCGATGGTGATGAAACCGTGCATGCGGTAGATTGTTGCACATGGAGCGATTGGTCCAGCGGTGGAACCAAGTGGACAGCATAGTCCTCGTAAGTGTAACGAGAACTTGCGACATTCGCGTTCTCCCCAGATGTGCAGGAGGCCGCTAGCAAGGCGGCCGAATCTGGCGGAGTAGAAGGTGGAGTCGCCTCACCTTCCGCGGAGCTCAGTTTCCCGAGCTGAGGCGGGGTCGCACATCCTCCTTGACCTGATCTTGGCACAGGGAGGTCTTGTGCTTGGTGTTGTTGCACCAATAGCAGCTGTCATAGCGGCCGCGGACCTTGTACTCCGCCTCGGTCAAGCCGAACTTGACCCATGGAACTTGTACTGGCTGTCCATTTCCGGCCTGCAATGCGGATTTCGCCTTCCCATTGTTGCGGGACTTCTTGTTGCTTCGCGGCTGGACAGCAGCCACCTGATCTCCGTCACTTAATGTTGGAGTGGCTGTTGGGTTATCTCCACTGTCCGACTGGACTGCAGCGAAGTGCTGCTGTCGCGGACCAGTTCGTACCTTCTCCACATAGGTCGGCTGCCATGTTGATTTCTCGTGTGCAATTGACCTGTTGGTCTTGATGATCTCTCTCGCCTTGTCGATAATCTCGGCGAAAGTGGAGTACTGCTCGCGATCACCAAGAGCCTGGCTCAATGCAGGGCAGGATCTGTTGTAGAACTCACGTCTAAGATGCGTGAATGCCAATTCCAGATTGGGCACCGCCGCAATCTTCTGCCACTCTGTGAGCCAATCCCGTGTTGCAGTGTTGCCCTGTGACATGGTGAACAGACGGTTGATGGCGAGTGTCGGCGCGTCGTCGACGATGAACCGCTTCTTCCACAGCCGTGTCAGTTCCTCCCATGTGATTTTGTCCTTCAAGTCCGGTACGTCGACGCCGTGAGAGGTTGCCAGGTGGCTCAACCAGGTCTGCCATCCGCCCTTTGAGTTCAGGAACAGGGCGCCGATGTACGCGTGCTTGGCAACGGGCAGAATCCTGAGTTGCGTTGTGAATGCTTCCCACCAGAGGACCGGATCCTGCTGTGTGTAGTCGTCGAACTTGTCCAGTTGGAAAGTTGGCATCTTGTACATCTTCGGATTGTCATCCGCATTCATCGACTGCAACTGCTGGACCTTGGTCTTCAAGGTACGCATCTGACTGTTGATGGTGATCGGCGCAGCGAAGGTGCTGATGTCGCCGAGCATTTCCACTACGTGGTCAACGCGTTCCTGCAGTTGGCGGCTAGAGGATGCACTGCTGGAAGCCCCAGCAGCTGGTCCTGGTACAGCCTGTTCCAGGTCCAGCAATCGGGCATTGAGTGCCCGAGTTGCATCCTCATGGCTCTGCACTGTATGGCGGAGCTTTGCCAACTCCTGATGTTGTTGCGTCAGGTCCTGGTACTGTTTCTCCAACTCGGACCGTTGGTAGTTGCAAGCATACAACAACCGTGTCACGAGTTTGGAGAGAAACTCCTTATGATGCTCTTCCGGTGTTCCGTCGTCGCCGTTTGGTTCAAAGTGCCAGAACTTGAGTTTTTCGATGCTTGTGGATTCATGCCGCTGCAGCAGATCCTGGGCTTCCTTGCGGCGAGCCTGGGCATCTGCGTCTGCTTCGGCCTGTAGCCGCAGCTTCTCTGCTGTTGCCGCTTCTTCAGCCTGTAGCTGGGCAGCCTTGACTGCCAGCTGGCGTTGTTCCTTAGCCTCGATTGCAACGAGCTGAGCCTGGAAGCGCTTTTTGTAGTCGGCAATGGGCTCATTGGCCAGTTGGCCCGGCAGGCCTGTCATGTTGCTGATGTGGCATTGTGTCTGACGTGGCACTGCTGACGTGGCACTGTGTCTGACGTGGCACTGCTGACATGGCACTGTGTCTGGCGTGGCACTGCTTACGTGGCACTGTGTCGGACGTGGCACTGTGTCAGACGTGGCACTGTCTGACGTGGCACTGCTGACGTGGCACTGTAGCTGACGTGTCACTGTACCAATCCGGAATGCATGCAAAGGGTGGGTGGGAGGGAAAAACGCAGGTAGGAAACCAACCCAACAATACTTTCCTCCGGCCCTAATCAACAGATAAAAAATAAAA